CTGCCCCTATTCCTAGGTATATCATTTAGGGTCAACGTTTGCTTTGGGTATGTCTAAGTAGTAGAGCTGGGTTCTAGATTGGTGGAGTTTGGGTCTAGGGCAGACATAGCATCGAGCTACTCAGCGCTATTGGCACTGGGCAAGCAGCAGAACTCTAGGTGCAGCAATGACTTTGACGTGTACTGGTTAAAGCCATGGAGACTTTGGGTTCCTTCAGCTATGTAGATGCTGAATGCAAGCTGAATACAGAGATTTTAGAATTTTTAGAATTATCACAATATATATGAGATACGGTCAAATTATCTTGTTGAGTTATGTTTATTTCAATACCTTGTAGCTGGAAGGATCTTAACATTCAACGAGTTGAAGATAATTTTACATTCATGTTTACTTTGGGATTGTGTTTTCATTCCACTGCATATCTGCTCAGACCTATTTTAATTCCTAGTCACCATGCTATTCAAGATATTCAGTAGTTTCTGTCATCACTGCTGTTGTCGATAGTAAACAGTAATGTAATATGCTCAATAATGAGTGTACTGATTAGTGGTAGTAGCAGAAATGCAGTTTTGGAGACGAAGTTTAAGAGTACCGAAGTTGATCTTGTTGGCTTCTTGTCTTGATATGTTGCATGAAGTTATTAAGAATACAGTTTCCCTGACAGCTTTTTAGCAAAGCAGACGAAGTGGTGCTTATTCATTATTTAAGTCATACACTTTATTCTAATTAAACTTGCATGCAGACTTCAATTATTTTTTTCAGCTGTTTCGTACTGTGTAGCCTTGAGTCTTTATTACTTTTGCTGTCAAGAGGTGTCAGTCTCTTTGCTATGACAATTCACTGGAATTTTGCTCAAATGCAGGAACTTGGGGGAAGCTGATCAGCCTTAGGTATTTATTTGTTTTCCTTCCTTCTGATTTCCCTCAAGGATTCAGGTGATTGCTCAGAACCACAAGATGAGTGCTTCACTTTCAAATTGGGTTCAGGTAGCTCTATCTTTCTTTTGAACTGTAGTTTAAAACAGTCATTGTCTTTTCATTTTGTGAAATGTAATAACCTATTGTACTATGGTTTTATAGGTTGCAGTCTTTCAGTTATATGAAAACTATACAAGTTCAAGCACTTGAGAATCAGCTAGTCCTAAATGGTTATTCTATCAATATTTCACACATGGTTTTATTCATAGCCCTTCTTGTCTGAAACAAGTTGAAGCACTATTTGTGCTTTGTTAAGAGTATCTTCCAGTCTAAAGAGCTCTATATGAGATGTAGTTTTTTAATTTTGTTAAAAACTCCTGGTGTGATGTAGCAGTCAAGTTACTGGGATTTGCTTTGTTCAGTCTCTAATTGCCTTGTGTGTTAACTACTAGGAGGTCTTGAATCTGTATGGTTGCCCACAGTAAAAGCTGAGAGGTGGAAAAAAAAAGTTGTAATACCTGCAAGACATTCATCATGATGGGAATTCTTCAGATGTTTCCTGAGTCCTATCTTTTTTAATATTTTCAAAATAAAAATTACTGTGTGGTAGCTGAAGATGATGACTTATTTCCGACTCTGTATGTGACTAATTGAATACATCCCTTAGTGGCTTTTTGAAGTTCTTTGCTAAATAACAAGCTAGATGTTATATGAGAGTTCCTGTCTCTGTTGGTTTGTACGCCAAGTCTTTTCCTTGTGTATATAAAAATAAAAGATAAAACCAGGTCTGTCCAAGTCATCTGAAGAGAGCTCTTCTTGGACTATATGCAGATATTTCCACTAAAATTAGTCCTTTCTAAATATCAGTTGCTTATAAAATAATAATGAAATCTTGGATAATGAAATCTTTTTCGGAACAAGATGGGAGCATACTTCCTGGGAGCAGGTGGAATTCTGATAAATATTTGGTAATCTGAAATTTTACCAGTCTGAAAACTGAGATACAATGAGACAACATATGTGTAACAGGTGGTCTATTCCATGTAGACACTGTGCATAAATTACTGGCTAAATATCTGAGCTTGTATTAACTAAGCAATGAATATTTTTGTTACTTCTCCCTTCAGAAATCAGCCTTGTAATACCCTAGCTTGAAAGGTGATAGTAGAGCAGAGAGGAGTATGTAGAACACAGGCTAATTTTCAGTGCAGGCGCTGGCATTATATAGGTTTATTTTGTTCAGTTGTGAAATGGAGGTATGTGGTGAGCTAGAGGAAGACCTGTGTGTGGTGCTTGTCTGTGTAAAGGTATGATATATCAAGTATTGGGAAGAATTTGAGAGAGAATAATTAAGCGAGACAAGTTAGCTAAAGCTCAGTAATGGACAAGGACAGAAATGGACTGTTCTAGGGTGAGGCTTTATTTTTTTTCTGCTCTTAGACTTCAGCCAGTATGTATCTCTTAAAAGAATAACTTTAAGTCTTTGGACCACAGTAAGTTAAATCTACAAAGGAATTATGTATTTTTTTTTCTTCAGATAACTGTTCTCTATTTTGTTGTGTGTCCACTACCTGGATTCAGATTACATACTACTGAAATTTCAGTATAGATCTGACTTTTAACTTATAAAGGAGAGTAAGTATAGATATCTGTATTTTGTAAGTAGAGATTTTGTAAGTGTAGATATCTATATCTGTAAGTATAGATTTCTATATATCTAGATAGTTTAAATTTATAAAGAAGAGTAAGTATAGATACCTATCCTTGTACTGTTTTTTGTACCTGGAACTTGATAGGAGTGCGCAGTTAGCGCAGATCAGTTTGCTTCCGCTACTGTACAATATTTGCCCAAAAGGCAAAAATTGTAAGGTGGATTATAAACCAAGGCTTGGATTAGGAAGGCTCCCCTTAAGTTAAAGGGACTTAAGTTTTACCTTTAAGTTAAAATAAAGCAATCTCTCTGTTATATGCCTGGGGCTCTAAACCTGATTTATGCAGCTTCACTTCAGTAGAGACCAGTTTAAAAAGACAAAAGTAGAGTTTTATGTCTCTCTATCTGTATGGAACAAGCTGTCAAATAGCAATTGGGAATGAAGGGAATCTCCGTTTTGAGACCATCTGTGTCGGTTCTTTTGTCTGAACCTGACAAGAGGTCATGGCAGATGGTGGGGTCACAAAGTCTGGCTTCTCGAGCTTGACAAAATGTGTTCATAAAGCTGGAAGAATACCAACTGTTTGCACTGGCTGAAGAGCATTGTGGCAAAAGACGTAGCAGTTCATGGACAATACTTTCTGGATCACTAAGCTTGATGGCAAATAACTTGTCAAAGATGAAACTAGTTTGCATCTCTGTAAACAAGTTAAAACTGCTTACCAAATGTGTTCTTACCTGTTTTATTTGAGGAAATTACTTGTAAAGGCTCTTAAAGCAAGACAGTAAAAGCAAACTACATGGTATGCTTTGCCCAGAGCTTCGGATTATGTATTTGGAGAGTGTGTGGAAGGGGAAAGGGGGTGGGAAAAGACCCACAGATCCTGACTTTCAAACACTGTAGGGATTTGCGGCCCTGCACTTCACTGAAGAGCAGTTCAGGAATTTGCTCTTTTCCGCAACAACTGTTTTATGGCATTTCTGTGCTGGTTCTGCAGGTTTCAGAATTGCTGTCACTTTCTCCAAGGGTGTAAATAGATGTCTGTCTTATACAGGTAGTGTCCTGTTTGAAATCAGGGAAGATCCCTTCTTTCACCATCTATTTAAAAGTATTAGAGCTTTCCAGCATAGCAGTCCCCGCACATGTCAGCATGATTTCTCCATCATGTTACTGCTTAAAACTTGGCTAATACAAAAATGTGTTATAAAGGATACTGATTCAGCACTTGACACTTAAACTTTTTTTTCTACTTAAAATGGAAACTTTCATTATTTAAAACTTTTTTTAATGAACACCAAATATACGATAGCAATTGTGCTTGATTTAGAAAGTCCAATACCTCCTTATGCTGTTTGCTCAGAAATGTACTGTTGATTGTATTGAGGCTGTTCATAAAATCCCCGTTTTGAGGTGCAGAGTAATATTAAACAGTTTGGAATCACTACAATATTAAAAGGAGGATGAAGATAGTGGCCATTCTCAAAGCTGACATAGGTTAAGATGCAGGGGAAACAGTGCCTTTGGATCTAGTGCTGTCTGCTGTTAATGGTAATGACCCACAGTTGGTAACTAGCACATGCTCCTTCCAAAAGATTTTGTGGAATTGATTCCACACTTCAAAGAGTGTGGAGATCTCTCCCTCTTATGCAATCAGTTGCAATTCAGTTGTGTTTTGTAGTACATTTATTAACAAGTAGTCCTTTCAAAGTACTTAAAGTTTTTGTCAAATTAAGTTTTTCTTTAAAATAGTTTTCATGTTGATCTGTACCTTGTTTTCATTTTGTGTATTTTGTAAATGTTTCTGTGAGGCTCCTTTCTGATTAAAAAAAAATCAAGTCATTATAAGTATTCTTCAGTATAGCAAAATGTTTGTTTTTCATGGAATTTAAATATAATTCTCATTATAATATTAAGTCTGTAATATATAGTTAGAAATTTCCCAAAATATTAAATATTTGCTGTTTACATATATCTTATATTAGTTTCTACATCTTAGAGAGATCTTTTGGTCTCTGTAGAGATGGAATTGTGAACTCTCTCTGCTGCATGAGGTTAAATAAATGATGGCATGAATTCATATCCAGTTTTTAGGCTCAGTCTGCAATAGATATAAATGATTACATGGATTTAATTACAATTCTTTAGCAATTATATGACATATTATAGTTGGGCCTTTATGCAGCATGCTTTGCATCTGCGACTTTTCTAAGCAATGTAAATGATACTAATCTTTGCAGAATCATAATATTCTGGTGATTTGATGTTATTAAAATCAAACAAACAAAAATACCCCAACTACAGAAGAAGCCATCTAGTACCCTCTGGAGATGCAGGGTTTCAGATAGACAACTAAGTAAAGATGTGTTTTAACTAAGATGTTTTTAATTAATTTTCTTGCAGGATGTTCAATTTAAAGATTCTTTGAAGATGAAAAGGGATATCTTATGGTTTTACGGAATATAAAGCAAATTGTCTGCCATGACGGCAAAAAATGTAAGTTTATGACTGTGACGTATTACTTCTTTATATTGGCATGCTGCCAGTTACTTCTGACCTTCAGAATTTGAAGGGGTTTGTGTTTTAGTTTCTTATATGGACAGGTTTTTTGTATCCTACACACACACTCATCTCCTGCAGTATTTTGATACATTTAAACTAGCCAGAAGTTCTTTAGGAATATGAGGTTAAGCTACTGGGCAAGTTGACAGTGGGGATTCTTTATTCTAACTCTTGCTCCCAGCCTATCAATGAACTGCTTATTTTGCTGGAGCAGCTCAGCTTTGCACCACAGTAAATCCTTCTGGTCTCAAAGCTCTAGGAAGAACAGGAAGAGAGCGTATTTCTTTTCTAATGTCTCTGCGCTCCTGGTTCCTAGGCTGCTGAGGGCTGTATGAGGCTGAACTGTATTGTGGAGTTCAGAGGTTGTATCTTTGCTCCTCTATCCATAGTTCTGGAGAGGCTTATGAATTGAAAACATCTTGACCTTAATGTTCTGCCTGAATAGCTGTGCGTCTTGATGTACACAATTTATGTAGCGAACAGTTTTGATTAAGCTTGACAGTCAGTGAGTGGAGTATTACTTTGGGCATTGAGCAATTTACCCATTGGCTGTCTTTGGGAGGCTATCCTGTCAAATTAAATCTGAAGAGGTTTGGGAACCAACATCAACATGATTAAAGAAGCAAGAACCTCAGAATAAAGTGCTGAATAAAAGTACATCCTGACCCTGGCATGGTTCTCTGTTTAGTCATTCAGTAATTGCAAAAGTTTCTGTACATATTGGGTTAGCTTAATGATAGAGGCATAATTTGGTTAATTTAGATCTCCAGACTTGGAAATTTTTATTGTTAAATAATTTCATTTGGTGTGCAGCTCCAGGTGAGGATTTTGGTGTTCTTATGTTTATTTGATTCAAGCTGACCAAGCCAAAATATGTATAATATATTATTAAATGAGTATATATATGTGGAACACCTGTTGGCTGGCTTGCTTGCTTGCCAAATGCAGCTTGCTATTCCTTTGCAGAAGGATAGAGGAAGAACACTTTCTAGTATCTGTTTTCTGGAATGCTCTTTAAGGATAATTTGACCTTCCTTGGAAAGAGTTCTGACCAAAACAGTTATGAATAACAAAATGTTGAATAGAAGTTATAGATTCTTTTTGAGATGAGATGTTTACATGCTCACCCTATAGAATCTACACAGATGTAACTTCAGTTGCCCTCTAATAATGGGTTATTTTGTTCTTTGCTTACATTATGCAATGCCTTTTCCTTACCTGTCTCTTACTTCCATTCTTACCTTTTGTTCAGGTAGGAAAGTCTTGCAGAAGTGCTGAGAAATGAGGGAAGAGAAAAAATAAAAGCAAACACACATTAAAGTTATTTTTAGCACAAAATAAATGGCATGCCTCAAGCAAATTATTTGAATAAAACTTAATTTCGATTGTCTGGTCTTAATTTATGTACATGTACTCTTAGGGGTATTTGCTGTGATTTCTCAAGTGGTAGATGGTTTATCATGGATGAGATTAGTTGGGTGGCTGTAAGAGTTCTCCTTTCTCATGCCAATATGGAAAACTGCTTTAACTGATGGTTAAGTAGGTGCCTGCTTTGCATGGGAATAGATGTGGGCCACTTGCATGATCAATGTTGGTACCTGAGTTACACAGCAAGTACCTAACAGCTAAAGACAGAAACTTGCCAAAACACCGTTTCAGTTTGATCAACATTCAAATTTGGCATATGCTTAATCCCATTAAACAAACAAACAAAACCAAAAAAGAAAAAAGTGGGCCTTTTAGGCACACTGGATCTTCATCCCTGTGGTTTCCTGATCTTTTTGTGAAGCTCCAATTTAAAATCCTCTTTTTATTTCTGGGAGAGACGGGGATCCTGAGGAGAAACTGATATTGTTATATAGTGCATAGGCAGAAGTGGTATGACCTGACAGTTCTGGCTCTTCATCTGGACCTTGCAATCTTTTTTAATTCTTTCAATGCAATGAAAGGATTGCAGTGCAACCTTAAACTTTTCTACCCTTACTAAACTTTTCCACCTTGATTGCAGCACAAGCCCTCAGGTGGAATAACACTAGAATACTTTTGTTTTCCATATAGACCTACTACAAAAACAGGAAAACAAATGGAGAAAGATTTCACATCTTCCTCTTTTCCCATACTCAAATGCAGATATTCACAATAATTTCCCCTGCAGCACACCACCTTTACTACCTATGTACCATTGCCACCTAGTGGAAAGGAGGGGAAAAAAAAAGCATACACACAAAAAAGCTTCTTTCTATTTTTATTTTTTAAAATTTTGTTGTGTGTGAGAGAAAAGATTTCCATAAGAGTCCAAAAACAAACAGCCAGAGGTGCAAGTGTGTTGTGATACAGAGTTGGGATTGTCATCAGTAGCTGCAAAACATTTAGATCAGGGAGCAACTGTGCTTGTAGAATTATGCATGAGATCACTCTTGCTCCTTAAAAATCAAAGCATTTTTCACAGACCAGAGAAATGCTAATTTTATTCCTGGTAAGTGTCATATTTTCACAGATCATTCAGGTGATTATCACAGATCAACAGGTGATCTGTCCCGAATTGGAAAATATGCAATCTGTTTATTGGAAAAAAAAAATCTGTCTACTTGTATTTGCTAGGCAGATATGTCAAAGCTATTTGGAATCGTTACTAGCTATTGTGCAGGATATTATACAGGGACTTGAAGAAATTTTGATTCTGTAATTTGAGACATGATGTATTTCATCCAGATGCTACTCCCCTAGTGGTGAAATGGAGGATATTACTTTGCACTCAGGGCTAGGACTTTATCCACAAAAAACAGTGCAGCAACTGCTGAAGTTAATACGTTGCTCCTGATGGTGGGAAAAAAAGAAGTCTCTAAAATTATTAGAGAAGAGCTTGTCACTATGCTGGCTGCTGCTTTTAACCCTAAAAAGAAATCACTTGATAAGTAAGTTATCTGGCTGAACCTAGCATCTGAATGCTAGTTGTGGGGTTTTCTTTGTTCTGGATGGTTTATTTTAGTGTTATGATACGACTGTTTAATTTGTTCACAGTCAAATGATTCTCATTTATTATGATTAAAGCTGTACTAAGTGGCCATAGCAGTGTGTTCCATTATTACAATGTGCTTTTGTAAATTAAAGCAAATATTTGCTTCTTACTGTTTTTTTTTTCCTTACCTTAGATACCCAGCCCTTTGTGCCAATTATTTACAAAAGTACTGCATTCTTACTTTAAGATCTTTTAGGATTTGGCTCAACTGCCTACTGGAGGAGTCATGCTCTGATTTCTGAGCAGATTCTAAAGGAGCTCAATCCCTCCAAACTGACCACAGGTTCCATCTGGGAAGCAAAACAAAATGCCTTGGTGAGCCGGGTTTGCAAAGGTGGTGCAGTCCCACCACTCTGCAGCTGCAGAATGCCGCCTCCTTGCCTGCTGCTGCCGGGCCGGCCCCTCCTTACCTGGCATCCGAGGGACTTTGCGGTGTCTCGGTCTCTCTCCTCCCTCAGTCAGGAATGATGAGCTCTGCTTGTTTTGTCGTCTTTGTTTGTTTCTATAGCATGCTTTGCATATATACCAAAATCTAGGATGCACCGTTCTGTCCTGACCTAAATCCTCTGTGTCCAGGAATTTACCCTTAAGGTAACACAGTTATTTCTGGAGACTGGGGAATGTTTAAAATGCACCAACAGTCACATCTCCTCAGCCCCATAGGTCTTATGGCTGAGTGCTGAGGATACTGGAGAGGGGGCAGTTTCCTGCTGTGCTACAGGTGGCGGCTGCTCCCTGTGACAGAAGTGACAATGACATGGGTTATGTGTAGTACAGTATCAGGATACCAAGAGTTTTTCGAAATTAAATAATTTAATTAAAAACTTAATTATAACTTAATTGCTTTGGTTTTCAGACTCTCTTTAAACTGTACTAACTATAGCATTATAGGGTTTGGAGAATTTAGAGCAGGTGTTCCATTTCTTTGCTTTTTTCGAGTTATGTTGTAGAAATCAGTTTAACCTGGACATTCATTTAAAGTAGAAATTTAACTTTTGGGAGCAGAATAGACAAGTATACTTGGTATATTTTTTGAAAAATGTCTCACCATTGAATACACAAAATTTCCATGTGTGTTTATGTGTTTCCATAAATACTGTCGTTTACATACTAGAAAACATGCAAAGAATTAGCATATTTTAAGACTCCTAAAATGTTTTGTTCAGGTTGGTGTGAATCCCCCAAATGGCGACTTGAAAGGATTTATAGATCAGAACCAGAGTCCAACAAAAGGTAAGAGAATTCTGTTTGTACACATAGTGAAGAAGCATACATTAATAATACATTCTTGCATTTAGTAAATGAGTGTTATTGCTGACCTAGAGAAGATTGAGAGGAGATCTCATCAACATGTACAAGTACTTTAGGGGTGAAGGTAGGGAGGATGGGGCCAAACTCTTCTCGGTGGTGGCCAGTGATAGGACAAGAGGTCATGGGTACAAGTTGAAACACAGGGATTTCTACCTCCATATGAGGAAGAACTTCTCTACTGTGCAGGTGATGGAGCACTGAACAGGCTGCCCAGAGAGGTTGTAGAGTCTCCTTCTCTGGAGATCTTCCAAACCCACCTGGACACCACCCTGTGCCACGTGCTCTAGGTGTCCCTGCTTGAGCAGGGGGGTTGGACTAGATGATCTCTAGAGGTCCCTTCCAACCTTAACCATTCTGTGATTCTGTATTGCATAAATCCACAGTGACACATGTGATATTAGTGATGTGCAAGTGTCTCTGATCTTCAGGTTTTAAAAAGAGAATTATTAGGGATTGTGGTGAAAGCAACTAAAGCATTAAATAAGCTTTTCTCTTTCTTCTAGTGAATAATGTGCTGAGTTCCTGGGTTCCTCCCCAGCCCCCCGCTAAAATTTCCAGGCTGTTTTAGTGATTCTCCAAAAAGGGAGGGAAGGTTAAGCATGACCACCTCCATGGTTCACTTTTACTACCAAAGTGGAAGATTTTGTGGATGGGGTTGAAAATGCTTTGACTTCACTTATTTTGTGTGTGTGTGTGTGTGTGTGTGTGGTGATGGGCAAGTTATCTGATTTTTTCTCTAAGCCTGAGTTGTAATTTCTGGGTGAGATCTACAGGTGATACAGTCCAGTGGCCTGTCTGTATTAATCAGCAAGATCTGATTTCCCTCAGTCCCTCCTAGGCACTCACTTGCTTTCTCATGGCCCAGGTGCACGTTAGACCCCTGAACTCACTAGCCTGGGTGAGGCTAATCCAGCCAGGGTGAGGGGTGTGTGAAGAACTGTTGGGTTAGCAAGTTGAGTTGGCTCAGGGAAGCGTCCAGTGAATAGAGGAATTAGCATAAGGAAGGGGAAGCAGCAGCTCTTAAGATCAAGGTAGAAGAACAGGGAGCAGGATCTTCTGCTGCTGGTGCTAAACAATTGGGTTGATGTATCTGCTTCTGTGATTTAACTCCTAGTTGCAGTTTCCTGCTTTGGAGGTAAGTTTGTGCCAAAATGAAACCATAGCCTCCATTACCAGACTTCATTTTCCCCATTCACCAAGCTAAATATTCACTAGGGTTGGTAACCTTTGGCAGAAGGTAAGTACAAACATCTGATTGATAACATCTTACGCTTTTAGAGCTGTTTGCTCAGTATGCGTAGGTCACATACTGTTGATCATTCATGTAGCCACACTGCTATAATCCTGTGAAATTTCACAAACTAAGAAAACACGTGACATTTCATGAGTGACCTCTAAAGGAAGATAAAAATACTGACAGTTCATTCAGCACTTTAACCATTTCCTCCATGACAGAGTTGAGGACACCATAGTGCCACAGTAATATCTCAGTCATTCTCATCCCAGTCTACATTAGATTTTGCTTCTAGGATGATGGATATATTTCTTTATCTCCATTCTTCTGTGTTTTCTAATATGTTTTCCTTTTTTTTATGTTAAGGTGCAATTAACAAATACTAGCATCCCTGTTGAGATATGACAGCTTGTTTGCACTGTACGACATTGATTTTGATTTTGAATATGCCACCAAGGCTGGACCCACTAGCTGGGTGCTTTCAATCTGAAGTATCCTCTGCTTTACCTTTTTTGATTTGTGTAATTGGATGTTACTTGCAAAACGTTTTAGTAGGCAAAGGAGCTCCTACCTCAGCTATGATTTAGTGCTGCCTTTACTAAGCTGTGCTGCCATCATGTGAGCCCTCTAATGCAACGTGCTGAGTAAAATGATCTAATTTCTGTCATCTTCTGCAGTCACCTAGTGACACAAAAAGGGAGATATATCAAATATATATATATATCTTCAATGAACCAGGCTCTGCTGAGACCTGGCACTGCAGGAGTAGCTGCAGCCGGGTGCGTGTGGCCCAGCCCGGGCGCTCGCTCTGCAGAGCGGCATGGAGCAGGCACAAAGTCCACGCGAAGTCCCAAAGCGCGGTGCCGCGCGGCGCCCCTGCCCCGCGGGGCCGTGGTGGGTGCCTGCAGCGCCCCCAGCCTGGCCTGCGCTCACAGCCTGCAGTGGAAGCGGTGCTGGGAAGAGCTGCTTCAGGAATTATAAAAAGAGGGGAAAAACAAAAAGAGGAAGGAGGGGAAGGGGCAGAGGGGCCACCTGTCGCTCAGGCCGCGAGCGGCGCCCCCCGTCCCTCCCTTTG